CCTTCGGCACATCCGCGACAGGTTACTGTGGACTCGGTTGGTGTTGGAGCTGGAGGTGCAGCCGCTGGCGGTGCTCGGTCTGGGGGTGCTCGGTCGCGGGGTGCTGGAGCTAGAGGTGCTGGCGCAGGTGGCGCTAGCTCTGGGGGTGCTGGAGCTGGAGGTGCTGGCACTGGAGGTGCTAGTTCTGGGGGTGCAGGAGCTGGAGGTGCTGGCACTGGCGGTGCTAGTTCTGGGGGTGCTGGAGTTGGAGGTGCTGGCACTGGCGGTGCTAGTTCTGGGGGTGCTGGAGTTGGAGGTCCTGGCACTGGAGGTGCAGGTTCTGGGGGTGCTGATTCTGAGGAGACTGACGCTGGAGACCCTGGTTCTGCGGAGTCCACTCCGCCTCCCCACCGCCACGACACACGTCTCCAGGCTGCCCGTCGGCGTGAGCGTGAGGAGCAGGAGCGGTTGGAGAGGGAGCGGCAGGAGCTGCGGGTGCTGGACATTCTGGAGCAGCAGCAGCAGCAGCAGCAGCAGCAGCAGCAGCAGCAGCAGCAGCAGCAGCCGCAGCCGTAGCCGCAGCCGCCGCAGCAGCAGCCGCAGCCGCCGCCGCAGCAGCAGCAGCAGCCGCAGCCGCCACCGCAGCTTCCTCTGGAGCGGCGGTTGTTCCCACCTGTGAGTGGCCTGCGGGCCCTTGGCCTTTCCTCCTCTCCTCCTGTTCGCTCCCAGTCTCCTCCTGTGTTTGTCCCTCCGTTGCCTCCTCCTGACGACTGTCCGGCGGTCTGGTCTTCTCCTCCTCTCCAGTCTCCTCCTCCTTCTGTCCGTCACGACTTGATCACTCGTTGTCCTCCGTGTGCTCGTCACTCGTCCCCTGTTACTGACCTTCACACAGCCCTCCTTTGTTCGTCTCGTCTTTGTTCTCCTGTGTCCGTTCTCCTGTCTCCTCCTCCGTCCACTCTCCCAGCCCTCCCCACTCCTATCTCTGACTACTACCACGCTGTTCGTCCTGTTGCCGCACGTGTCATCGCCACTCTTGTCACCGACTCTCGTTTCCCTCCGTCGTCTATCTCGGCTCTTACTGCCGCTGTCGCTGAGTTTGCTGCCGCCAGCCGCCTTGACTACGCCACCCGTGTGGTGCCAGCTCCTCCCTACCGTCCTCTGTCCATCGGGGGTGGGTTTGCCCTTGGCTGTGACGTCCTAGAGGACAGAGAGTCTGAGCTGGAGTACTGGGCAGCCGCTTCTCCCCCTGTGTGTGCCATGCTGCTCTCCCCTGAGGGAGACCCCGACGCCCTTGACATACCGACTCCTCGCACTTACCGCGAGGCAGTGTCAGGGGCGTGGGCCTCTCAGTGGAAAGCGGCTATGGACTCAGAGTTGGCGTCTTGGAGATCCACAGGCACCTACGTCGACGCAGTTCCCCCTCCCAGGGCGAACGTAGTCGATGGCATGTGGCTCTTCAAGGTGAAGCGGCCGCCTGGAGCACCGCCGGTGTTCAAGGCGCGCTACGTGGCTAGGGGCTTCAGTCAGCGTGAGGGAGTTGACTTCTTCCAGACCTTCGCCCCGACCCCGAAGATGACTACTCTTCGTGTGCTACTCCACATAGCAGCGCAGCAAGACTACGAGCTGCACTCCCTCGACTTCTCCACTGCGTTCCTCCAGGGCCGACTGCACGAGGAGATCTGGCTGCGCCGTCCTCCTGGCTTCGCTGACACCTTCCCACATGGGACCTAGTGGAGCCCGAGGCGACCAGTCTACGGTCTCCGCCAGTCGCCCCGTGAGTGGCACGACACTCTTTGCTCCACGCTTCGTGACCTTGGGTTCAGCCCGTCCTCCGCCGACCCGTCGCTGTTTGTTCGAGCGGGTTCTACTCCTTTCTTTATCCTTGTCTATGTCGACGACTTGGTGTTTGCTACCGCAGACAGGGCAGCCCTGGCTCAGGTGAAGTCCGAACTGCAGAAGAGACACAAGCGCACTGACCTGGGTGAGCTGCAGCGCTACCTTGGCCTGCAGATCACCAGGGACAGAGCCGCTCGCACCATCACACTGACGCAGTCACACATGGTGCAGCAGGTCCTTCGGCGGTTCGACTTCCAGTTCTCCACCACACAGCCCACTCCTCTTGCTGTTGACCACCGACTCACTGGCCCCTTTCCTGACGAGCCCTTTGAGCCCAGTGGTCCCTACGCAGAGCTTGTGGGCTGCCTCATGTACCTGATGACTTGTACTCGGCCGGACCTCGCCTTTCCCCTCAGCATCCTCCCTCGCTTTGTTGCGACTGGGAGACACCGTCCTGTCCACTGGACAGCTGCTGTGAGGGTGGCGAAGTACCTGGCGACTACATCAGGCATGGGGCTTGTGCTTGGAGGGACTCAGCCAGTGGCGTTGACTGGTCACTGCGACTCTTCCTACGCTGACGACGTGGAGACTCAGCGCTCGACTCAGGGTTACTGCTTCAGTCTGGGAGCTGGTGCTGTGTCGTGGAGGTCTACACGGTCGTCGTCTGTGGCTACTTCCAGTGCAGAGGCAGATCTACGCTGGTGCCATGGCGGCACAGGAGCTTCGCTGGTTGACCTTCTTGCTCGCCGACCTTGGTGAGCGGCCTCGCTCTGCACCGACCTTGTACCCTGACAACAAGGCCATGATCCTCCTGTGTCGAGAGTCTCGACTGGAGAGCAGAGTGAAGCATATTGACGTGAGGTACTTCCTCCTGCGAGAGCTGCAGCGACGCGGCCAGGCACGCCTGGACTTTGTGGCCTCAGAGGCCAACACTGCAGACGTCTTTACCAAGGCCTTGGCGCTTGGTGATCACCACAGGTTCTGTGTGCAGTTGGGGCTTGTTGAGGTAGGCCCTCGGTTGCTGTAGTCTTGATGTTTGCTCTGCTTGCTGTGCTTCCTATTTATATCCTAGTGAACTCTTGAACTGGCCTTGTGGCCGCTTGCTTGCGCTCGAAATTTGTGTGGTATCCTTGAGATCCACCCTGAGTTTGCCTTGTTTCTTGCTTTGACTGGTCTTGTGACCGTTTGTTCACCTTGCTTGCTTTGATGCCCCTCACTTAGCCTATGGGGGTGTGTCAAATGTAATTCTATGCTTGTAGGCTACAGTGAGTAGCACAATAGGGAGTAAAGTTGTTAGGGTTGCATATTTGTACTCTCACACTTTCTAGTTTCGCCCATTCCGTTGCATTCCTATTCTGAGACCATGTACTCTAAGGGGTACATTCCCTTATTGCAGCGAAACCCAACCGTGCGACTCCAGACGGTCACGAAACTGTCCGGGCAGAATCCTCGCCACTGCTGCTGCCTGATGCTGTCTGCCTTGACGGTCCAGATGCTTCGTAACCGTATGACCCTTCGCGTCACTTCCGCCCTTTCGTCTTCAGCCTCGGTACTGCGTGATTCGATTGCTACTGTCAGGAGTGCACAGTAATGTTTCGTCTTTCAATATTCGTAACAATATGCACCTTTAAATGAAGAGGACGAGAACGTTGTCCAATGTAACAAGTGGATAATGGCGCCGTTCGCCATTTGTCCCACGCTCAGCATACCCGAAAAATAGGAGAATAACACTTTCATGAAGAGCGACCAGTATTTGTATATAGATTGCGGACTGCTCTATATCGTTTCTCGCCAATGTGCACGTAAATATCCTAGCGCGAAGAGGTCAATCGCAAAGGAGTGTCCCACTTTCCGAAAGTTCTGGTTGGTCGATCTTCAACTGACGTGACTCATCTCCGCCGTCAACACAGGCGCACCTCTACGAAGTGTCAAGATCGACGGCGTCGTTCTTCGTCGCCCCTCTCCACCAGGGGGTTCGTGAGCTGGAGCATCTTACAGGATGATGTGGTCTGAGCCACATATTTTGCGCATCCAGCAAATCGTTTCGAAAATATGACGCAACGCTGGAGAGACGCGCACGTGCCCATCTTAACGGTGCTTTGTTGTTTTGCGCCTTGATCACTGACGGGGATTGGTCAGGGCAGGCCAGAGGTGTGGAACAAAAAAATTATCAGGGAGAGAGAGCGAATGGAAAGAGGTCACCAGGATCAGAGTGGAACATCCACCACGCCCCGCACACCCGACTTGCCAACAAGACACAGGTACAACCAATCAGCGTCGAACTGAGTTTCCTGGCGCCTCGCTTAGTGGTCCTTCGTGATCGATAACGCGGACAGGAAGAGATGTCTTTCCGTTTTTCATTGGATTACGAACGCTAACGAAAGTCGTCAAATCTTCGGCAACGCCCTTCGGCGGCTTCTCGGGCAATTGGAAATCCCAACTGCCACGGAAGGGCGCTAGACTGCTACCCAAACGCGCAGGCGCCTCCGCTCCGCCTCCTCCCTTTCGCAACGCGACAACAGCTGTCTCGCGCATTCATCCAGTTGCGCACTAACCCTTCTACGCACTCACTCCGCTTCGCGCTTACCTCTCTCCACACTCACACCGCTCCGCGCTCAAACCGCTCCATCTTCCATCTTCACTCCGCTCTGCGTTCATCCCTCAGTCTCGCTCACTCTAGCATAAAAAATAAGTCCCAATATCCGAAATCCTAGAATCAACACTTCTAGAACTCGTGCGACCACCATTTCTTTCACTCCTAACCGTCAGCATCACTCTGTTTTCGGCGTTATCGTGCTCCTCCGTCTTGAGTTTATTATTCGCGAAACTGCACGCGATCGCAGTCAGCACCCCTAGTGGAATCTCGACGTAAAAAGGCTTTCAAAACGCATAGTTTTCATTTATCAATTGTTAACCTTCGGCCTCCCTATATTATGACAGCCGCACTTCCGTCATGGGCGGGAGTGCTTCAATCCAACGCTTTTTCCCCAACAGGTCTCCTCTGCGCAATAAAGATTAAAGATCTCAGCAACCCTAGCGATTCGACAAATCCTGGGAGACAGAATTCTGGCAGACATCAGCACAAAAATATACATCCGCGACACCCGCCATCTCTCGCGCCCATATTTCTCCGCCGCGCAACCCCTGAGAGTCGCCTCAAGCCGCACTATGGCCGCCGAACCGCGATGAAGACGACCTCCGTGCCACTTCGGCGCCGAACCGGGCCGGTGTCGTTCCCCTCCCCTCCCCACCACCGGCGAGTGTCGGCCGCGCCGCAATCTTCAGCCGCCCACCAGTCGACTGCGGGAGGCGCCGCGCTTCGCGCCGTGACTCACGCCGCACCTTCCGGCGCCAACCACCGCTCCCTGCTCCAAGAAAGCGCGTTCAGCGCCGAAGCGCTCGCTTTCAACCTCGCCCTCCGAAGTCTACCGTTAGAAGCCTGCGCTCCGTCCTCGTCGTCGTCGTTATCAGCCTCCCCGTTACAATCTTCCTCGTTAAAAACACCAAGAACAGCGAATGAGTTTCACGGCTCTCCCCATCATCATCGCGACCACAGAAATGGAGTGGCGGCGGGGGCGGCGGCAGGGGCCGGGCCGCGGCCGGCTCTGCGGTCGCCGCCGGCACCGGCGGCGGCGGCGGTGGCGGCCGTGACGTCGCCGGTAGACGAGGAGCGCGATGTCGATGCCGACTCGAGTAGCGACTCGGGGTCTGCGTGGGACGGCGTTAAGGTTCTGCCGTTCGCCGCGTCTGTCGGCGTGGGCCTCGCGACGTGGGCTTTAATTCGCTCTAACTGCGAGTGGGATTTAATCCCAGCGGTTGACCCTCCTCCTCCCCTTTCTCACTCGCTTCCACCCTCCATTTACCCCCTCCCACGCCCCTTCCTCCCCCTTACTCGCGCCCCGCAGTGCCCGAGGGGTTAACGGACCAGGCGTGGCAGTTACTGGCGGTGTTTCTCACCACTATAACGGAGGCCCCCTTTCATCCCCACCCCTCCCTCTTTCCCCCCTCTCCCCCCAATCCGCGCGCTCGCAGTGCCCGAGGGGCTAACGGACCAGGCGTGGCAGCTGCTGGCGGTGTTTCTCACCACTATAACGGGGCTGATTCTCGGGTGAGTCAGTAACGGAGCGGCTTATAACGGCGTATCTCCTCCCGACCCCCGCTCCCATTCCCGCTGTCCACCTTCCCCTTATCCCCTCTCTTCCCGCGCCCGATACCCACTTCCCCACGCCTTTTCGCCCCATACTCGCCTTCTCTCTACCATGTATTTTTTCCCTGCCCTCCCCCCTCCCTCTGCTCCTTCCCTTACTTTGCGTTCCCCCTGTAATGCAAAAGTATTGGTTTCTCATACCTTCTCCCTCACCGTCCCGTTCTCCTCCCCCCCCCCCACCCTTCCCTCGTACCTTCTCCCTCCCCTGTTACCCTCCTCACCCCGCTTCAATCACGCAGGCCGCTTCCCGTGGGCGCGTGGGCCTTCGTTTGCCTCTCCTTCGCTATATTCACAGGCACTCTCTCTTTCTCTGACGCCATCAGGTAAGGAGGTGCGGAGAGGCAGTCACACGCCTCGAAATTAGGTGAGACAGTCACAGTCTACATCACAAGCACCCTCGCTTTCCCTGACGCCATTAGGTGAGGGGGCTACAGTCTACAGAGAGGCTTTTACACGGCTCGAGATCGAGGCACTGGGCGGGGACCCGGGGGTGTACACTACAGACTCGTTATAAGGAGTCTCATGACTTGTCATGAGGCGGAAGAGGGTAGAGCTAGTTAGCAATCACGCACTTGTTTCTCGCTTCTGTTGAGAATTCGGTTGAGTTTTCCGTTGGTTTTGAGATCTCGCACAAGTGACTCATGGAGTTATATCCCCGTCCCTCCGCCACACCACCACCCCACCTTCGTCCTGTCCGCCTTCCCATTCCCGCTCCCCTCTTCCGCTCTTCCCCATCCCGCCCTCCCCCCGACAACAGCGCAATGACGAACGAGGTCATCTGGCTGATAGTAATTTCATTCTTCTTCGCTCGCGGATTCGTCACCACGGGCCTGGGCGACCGCATTGCCACGCTCTTTGTGAAATGGTTCGGCAGCAGCACCCTCGGTCTCAGCTACGGACTAGCAGGTACGGTGCTGTAGGTACGGTAGTGCATCCAGGAATGTGGAGCGGTATGATTCGGTTCCCAGGCGTGTGAGTGACAATGTGCCTCTGCTGCTTCTCGTCACCATGGGCCTGGGCGATCGCATTGCCACGCTTCTCGTCAGGTACGGTGTCGTAGGTACAGTAGAGTATCAAGAGGTGTAGAACGGTACCTGCTGTTCGTCACCACGCGGCTGGGCGATTGCATTGCCACGCTCTTCGTCAAACGATTTGATTTCTGAGTCAACTCAAAAGTCACCTCGTTTGGAGTCGACTGAAAAGTCAATGGCATTGCCACGCTCTTGGTCAAATGGTTTGGCTCTGGGCGATCAGATTGCCACATCCCCTCCGTCATTCCCCCGCTCCCCCTTCCTGCCCCTGTTCCCTCCTCTCCAACCACCAGCCAGCGAAGCCCTGCTAGCCCCAGCCATGCCCAGCACCACGGCGCGAGCGGGAGGCGTGTTCCTGCCCATCATTGACTCGCTTTCCAAGCGCTACGACAGCCGCCCCAATGACCCCAGCAGCAAGAAGCTTGGCGCCTTCCTCATCATGACTCAGCTGCAAACCTCCGCCCACAGCAGCGCCATGTTCCTCACCGGTGAGAAGGCTTGAATCCGCACAGCAGAGTGGTATGTTCCTCTCAGGTTAGGATTTTGAGCCGCCCCAACCACCCCAGCAGCAAGAAGCTCCAGACCTCAGCTCACAGCAGCGCCATGTTCCTTACAGGTGAGAAGGCCTGGCTCCGCTCACATGCTTCCTCCGCCATGTTCCTTGCCGGTTCGAATTCAATGCTTTCGTAGCCGCAGACCTCCGCTCACAGTTGTGCCATGTTCACCTACCTTTCTTCCATTCTCGCCCCCTTCACCACGTGTTTACTCTCACCATGTTTTCCTGACAGGCGCGGGGCAGAACCTGCTCTGCTTGAAGCTGGCGCAAGAGATGGGAGTGGCGATCCCCAACGCGTTTGGGACGTGGATGGCGATGGCCGTGGTACTGGGGATGCTTGGGGCTGCTGGTCACCCCCATGCTCATGTTCAAGGTCTTCCCGCCGGAGGTCAAGGAGACGCCTGAGGCGCCGGGGCTTGCGAAGAAGAGGCTTGAGGAGATGGGGGCGGTTAGCGGGAAGGAGATGGTCATGATTGGCACCATGGGGCTCGCAATTACAATGTGGATCATGGGGTGAGTGAACTGGTGATGATGGTGATGATGGTGATGCATGGGTGTGCTTCTGACAGTGGAATGTGCTAGTCAAAGGGAGAAGGGTAAGGGCGATGGGGCCTGTGAGCGGGAAGGAGATGATCATGATTGGCACCAAGGTTCAAAAATACGGTAATCGTAAATTACGGGTCGTAAATTACGGTCGTAATTTACGGTGGTTTTGCCAAAAATACGGTCGTTTTTTTGTTGGACATTTTTTGCAGCAATTGTTTTTTTTCCAGAAACTACTAGAACGCTTACAACGATGACCAGGAAGGCGACAACAAACTACACTACAGAGAAACAAGCCTACAATGGACCACAACACCACTACCATTGCTAAGCCTACCTAGTACCTACCTTTAGGCTAAAACTGCTCCTACTCCCTCCCCACACTCCCAACTCGGGAAAAAAACACACTCGAGTGGATTTGGGCGCACGAAAATTCTCACAAGCAGGGTGACGGTTGGGAAATGTCGAAATTCGCTATACACAAACTCGGTTTCAAATTTTCGGTCGTAATTTACGACCGTATTTTTAAACCAACCTAATTTTGCAAGGTCACACCGTTTTTTACCGTAATTTACGACCGTAAATTACGATTCCGTAATTTACGGTAAATTTTCAAAAATACGGTCGTATTTTTGAACCTTGATTGGCACCATGGGACTGGCGACTACCATGTGGATCATGGGGTGAGTTGGTCTGTTGGTGTGTTGCTGCGCTGGTGTGTGTGTATCAGTGGGCAGAGGGGGGAGGGGGGGGGTATGAGTTTGTGTGGGGTAACCGCCATGTCGGCGCTCTCTCTCCTCTCAGGCATTGTCTCGTGCTTCCTCTGCTTCCCTCCTCCACTGCCCACTTCCCCCAATCCAGTGAATCACTGGGCATCCCCAGTGTGGTAACCGCCATGTCAGCGCTCTCCCTCCTCCTCCTCTCCGGCGTCGTGTCATGGTCCGACTGCCTCTCAGAGCGATCCGCATGGGACACCCTCATGTGGTTCGCCGCTCTCATTGCCATGTCTGCCCAGCTCACCCACATGGGTGTGGTGGGCTGGATGGCCGATGGGGTAGCGGGGGGGCTTGGGATGGTCCCTGGGGGGATCCTGGCAGGGGATATGGCGACAGGGGGGATGTTGGGGGAGGAGATGGGGGGAATGGTGGGGATGCTTGGGGGAGATTTGGGGGAGATGGTTGGGGCGGGGGTAGCGGCTGTGGGAGCGGCAGCAGGAGCAGTGTCAGCAGTGGGAGGGGCGGTGATAGAACCAATGACTAATGCCGCCACCGCTACTGCCATAACCACTACTGCTGCCACCCTACCACCCCTAGACTCCCCAGCAGAGCTAACTTGGGTTTCCAGTTTCTTCCAGCTGCAAGTTCTCTACTTCCTCGCGCATTACCTTTTTGCCAGCCAGACAGCCCATGTGGGGGCGCTCTATGCGGCTTTCCTTTCCATGCAGCTAGCTGCTGGTGTTCCTGGGGAGGTTGGCGCATTTGCGCTGGCGTTGAATACGAATTTGTTTGGCGCGATTACGCATTATAGCAGCGGGCAGGCGGCGCTGTATTATGGAGGTGAGCGATAATTGTTGTTTTGTGGTTGCTTGTGATTGATGGGTAGCAGATTGTTCTGTATTTCTATGTTTTTTTTCCGCTCGCACACTGATATTTGTCGCTGTGTTGGTGGTTCTTGTTGCAGCTGGTTATGTTAGTCTTCCTGACTTGTTCAAGATTGGAGGTATTTCTGCCATTGTCAACCTGGTTCTTTGGACAGCAGTATGTTCTATCATGTGGAAGCTCCAAGGAGTATTCTAGGCTTGACAAGGATTTCGCTTTGTCTGTTATGTTTATTTGGCTTGGATATTTATTCCCTTTAGTTCCAGTGTACTTCGCCCTTATTTATAGTATTGAGTTGGTTCAATTGGTTCAATACAACTTCAGCTGTTTCGAATAACGCCAAATTAGTACCGCCATCATCGCCTTGTTGTCTGCTAAGATATAAACCAATCACAATCGTTCAAATCAACACATTGTACCTTCCGTATGTGCTTTGGCTCGGCTTCACCTCCACCCATACCAGGGGCTTTCTAGTCTGACCCTGGTTTGTGGCTTGTCGAACCAGTCTCCGCCCGAAGCGAGAACCCTCAGCCACAACAACGACGTCGGGCGACATGTCAGAGATCGCCGTCACTTCATGTCGGCTGTCCTGCGACCGTCGAAACTAGTGGTGCGTACACCAGAGTGTCGCATGAAGGTCGCGTTCATCGCCCAACCCCTCCCCTAAAATTTGCTGTTCTCGCCGCTCTCCGCCAAACTCAAACCTACCACAAACAAGATGACTGCGCCACACCCATACTGGTCCAGTGCATACCTATCCACACCTGAACACCACACGCATCTAGCAATTCCCCCACCAATTTGTTTCCGTACCCGAGCCATCCAAATCAAGCGGACCAAGGGTCCAGGCTGGATCCATGCCTGTAATGAATTTTCCGTCCATTCCCAACTTGAGGTCTCTACCGAACCAGAGCAACTCGTCCTGCAACTACCAGCTGCCAAGCCCCTTAGGGTTACAGAAGGGTTTGACACGGTTGTTTGCGCAATAATACGATACAGCGTGTTTCAGTGTGTTTTGTGTGGCAGCTGTGCCCCAACCTCAGATTCCTCTGCACTATTGGTGCCTGCTCGATGTCTTCGAGGGGGCTGTTTGTATGGCAGGGATAGGAGAAGCACGTGGGCAATCCCAAGGGTCTGAAATGGAGGCGGGAGGGAGGTGAAAGCTCGAAACGAAACAAACACTTTTTGTGGTGAAGTGAAAGGGTTGTTGGTTCGGCTGGCATGTCACCGCTGGCGCCGCCTTGACCTTGAACGGGATTTGCGGAAGGCTCGTTACCTTGCATGTTTAGGAACCGGGCGATTGTGTGATCTTGGATTTGACGTGTCGCATCGGCCTTGTTCCCGGAGGCAGATTCGTTCGTGTTTTACAACACTCGTCTGTTCCGTCTCTCGTCTTTTGCAGCCCTGTACATACGTCTCGGAAATAATGGCTTCAAACTGACTTAGGAATATCCAGTCTACATAACGGATTCGCCATCCATGGTCGAGTGTTAAGTAACCCCCAGAGTCCCGCCATAGAGTTCGTCTGCCTAGTAACTTGACTAACCCCCTGTGGATTGACCAACCCAGAATTCGCGCGGCAGCCTTGAAACGTGGATTCGAGACCTCTTTAAACGTGTGCAGACGTAGAAAGAGATTTAGTTTGTAAGCCAAGGAATTCGAGGCGTGCATTTGGGAAAAGTCACTGCGGAGGAGGCGAGGAGGCGAGGAGTCGTGTTTCGAAGCGAGGTTCACGAGGAAAGCGGTTCAAGAGTGCATAAGAGGGATGGACGCATGAGGGAATCGGCGTCGCACGAGGGAATCGTCGCACAGGAGACGAAGAGGCGGAGACGCCGTACTCCTCCCGCGTCGCCGTCATCTGCAACCGATTCTAGAATCTGAGGAGCTTCAGAGCCTCTGACTCAACGCCGTGTCCCTCCCGAAATAACTGTTGAGTCGACTCAAAAGCCACCGTGCCATCTGACTCGACGCCGTGCGTCTCAAACAGCGACTGCCGGTCGGCTCGTTTTCGAATCTCTCTGGGACGGCGTCAGCTTCGTTACCGTTGCTTCCTACTTAGGCGCCGGGCAGGCGCCGCGCCGCCGCTGAGTAAGTAAGCTCGTCCTATGCTTCTGAGAGTCACAGTGTGAGCTTGTAGTCTTGGGGTAGAGGTCGCTCTCCTCTGTACCTGCGAGAAGAATGCTTGTCGGTATACTTGTTTCAAATCACTGTGCCTCTCTTCGCTCGGCGTGTCTCCCGTCGTCAGTCTGTCTTTTGCGCTGGTTGTTCCGCCTTCCGCTTACCTGCTTCCACCCTTCCCCCTACCCTCTTCCGCCCTGTTTCGCAGCATGGCATCTGCGGGGTTTCTCTCCCGCAGATGGCGCGGCCTTACCCAGCAAGGTTCCGCCAGCGCGCTTTCCTCCGCCAGCGCGGTTTCGTCCGCCAGCGACGCGGGGACCGCCGGAAGCACGTCCTTGCGCCGCCACGACTCGGGTTCGAGTCCTGACACCGACACTTCTTTCAGCTCACCTATAACGCACATGGGTTCGGGCCCTTTAACGGGGACAGTGGGAGGGAGGCGGCGCGGGGAGGTCGCGGGGAGGGGGACGTTGGGCACAGCTGGGGCTACGAGCGAATCTAGAAGCGATTCTAGGAGGAGCGAATCTGTAGCAAGATTCGCTTATGATGACGATAGCCTGTCCCCCGCGAGGCGGCGTCCCCCAGGATTAGGGCGGCGCGCACTGTCGTTTGGCATGTCGCCGTGGCGCTTTGACTATAACGATGCCGTTACTAACGCGGCTTCTGGCGAAACCGCCCCTGTGAGAGGATCTAGCAGCGTACGGCAGAGGAGGCGGGGATTTTCGCGCAGAGGAAGGGCGGGGGAACGGGCGGGCGGAGGCGCGGATTCGTCCCCCTTGACGCCAGCGGGCGCGCGGACGCGGGGGGCTGCGCGCCTGTGGGCCGGGCGGAACAGCAGCGCGTCCGCAGATGGAGAGTCCCCCAGGGGAGCTGGGGGGGGCGCCGCCGTGGCTGCTGCTGCGGCGGCTGCGGCTGCTGCGGCAGCTGCGTTAGCAGCAGCGGAAGAGGCGTCAGGTGGAGGATTTGTGGACGTTCCCCTTGACGGATTCCGTCAGATGTCTGTCAGAGGCACAACGTAAGTCGTTTTTTGCAAAGAATGTTTAAGATGGTTTTGGTTGGAGCTTGCCTACGTCAATTTGGGAAAAAGGCTTTACTCCATACTGATGGTCTCGTTCCTCCCTTTCGCACTCTCCGATTTCAGTCGTGGCTCTCCAGCGTCCCCACCGCATCTCACCGCCTCAGACCGCAGATCATCTTCCAGAGGTACCCTCCTGCGGCTAGCACCATGCCCATGCTAATCCCTCACATAGCAACTTCATGTTATTAGTCCATCCTATTGTGCTTGTGATTCCATGTAAGTCAAATATTTCATTCCGTGAAACAACCCCATGTCATCTGAATGATGTCATGCCAACAACAGTGCGCAGGTGGCTCTCCTCCCTCAACGTGATTGGTCGCGTGCGCCGCGACCGCCAGCTCAGCGACCGCCAGCTCAGTGACCGCCAGCTCAGCGCCACGTCATCCATGCGGGCGGCTCACCGCTTCCAGGCACCTTCCTCTCCTCGGGGGCACTCAACCCAGCAGCAGCAGCAGCAGGGGCAGGGGCGACAGGGACAGCAGGGGCAGGAGCAAAGGCAGGAGCAGGAACAGGAACAGGGGCAGGGGCAACATGCGCAGGGGCAGGCGCAAGGGCAGGGGCAGGGACAGGGACAGGGGCAGGTTGCATATCGGAATTACATGGTCAGTGGGGGGCATAGTTTCAGCAGCGGATACAGCCCCAGCCGCGGATACAGCCCCAGCCGGTTCAGTCCGAGCCGGGGGTTTAGTCCGAACCACAGGTTCGGTGGGAGTTTTGGTGGTGGTGTGGGTGGGGGTTTAGGTGGCGGTGTGAACGGTAGTGAGTCTCCTAGTGCCCTGCAGACACAGTCAAATCCCCACCAGCAGTATCAGCACTATCGGCAGCAGTACAACCATCAACTTCAGCAGCAGCAGCAACAGCAGCAGCTGAATTCGAGTCAAAACCATCATCACAATTATCAGAACCAAAGTGAGCAGGAGCAGCAGCAGCAGCAGCAGGCGGTGCTATTCCCTTTCCGCCAGCCCTTCAGGGAGCTTCAAACCGGGGGAGGCGCTATCCCCGTGTTCCCATACCCGTCCCCACAACACCCCCTCCTCCAATCCCCCAACGGACACCCTTCCACCCCTAACGCCCTCCATCCCTCGAGTTCTCCTGTGCTTCAGTCCGCTAATATCCTTCATCCCACCAACTCCCCCCTTCACCAAGCCATGTCCAATCGCACGTCCCCTTCCTCCTCCCCTTCTCCCAACTCCCCCCGCCTGCACCCGTCCTCTCAACCGCACCTAACCTACTCCAACTCCTTGCCGTTCCGGACGCTTCAGAATCTCCCTGTGCTGCCGCCTCTGCCGGATCAGGACGATGGGGACGATGGGCCGCCGCCCGCTGTTGCCACCCGCCCGGCCACGGCTCACTCCAGTCCAAGCCCTGCCGCCCCGGCCCGTGCTACAGTGGCTGCTACAGTGACGGATTCGCCATTGGTGCTGTTTCGGGACAGGGAGAGGAGTCGGGAAAGAGAGGAGAGGGAGGGAGGAGGGGAGAGGGAGAGGGATGGGGAGAGGGAGATGGGTGGAGAACGGGAGAGGGAGCGGGAGAGGGAGAGGGAAAGGGAGCGGGATAGGGAGAGGGAGAGAGGCGGGGGTTTGTCGTCGGCTCGTCTCCCAAGGTGGTTGCGGTCGCGCCGGGCCAGAAGGAATGGTGAGGCCCTTTTGTTACCCCACTCCACTCTGCCACCTCTTCTCTCGTGCTCCCCTCCCCTCCACTCCCCTCCCCTACACTCGTCTCCCCTCCACTCCCCTCCCCCTCCGTTTTCCCTCCTCTTTCCTCTCCCCTCCCCTTTCCTCCCCTCCCCCCCCCCTTCTTTCCCCTCCCCTTTTCCCATCCCCTTTCCCCATCCCCTTTCCCCATCCCCTTTCCCCTCCCCTTTCCCCATCCCCTTTCCCATCCCCTTTCCCATCCCCTTTCCCCTCCCCTTTCCCCTCCCCTTTCCCCTCCCCTTTCCCCTCCCCTTTCCCCTCCCCTTTCCCCTCCCCTTTCCCCTCCCCTTTCCCCTCCCCTTTCCCATCCCCTTTCCCATCCCCTTTCCCCTCCCCTTTCCCATCCCCTTTCCCCTCCCCTTTCCCCTCCCCTTTCCCATCCCCTTTCCCCTCCCCTTTCCCCTCCCCTTTCCCATCCCCGTTCCTCTCCACTTTCCCCTCCCGTTCCCCATCCGGGCATCCCCTCCCTATCCCATCCCCCAGCCCCGTCAGCAGAAGCACCGGACGATTTCTGGTGGCAGGGGGAGATGAGCGAGGAGGACTCGGGGGTCATTGAAGCAGCCATGCAGGCCATTCTCATGGATGGGCTCGCAGACGCGCTGCAAGGGGGGGGGCTGCAGGGAGGCGGAGGGCTGGGAGGGGGAGGGTTGCATGGAGGGGGCGGGAGAAGGTTGATGGTGCCGCAGATGCTGTTGTTTGAGGATGAGGAGGCGTGGACTTACGAACAGCTGCTGGAGTTGGATCGGAATAATGTTAGACGGTGAGTGGTTGTGTGTGGTTGGGTGTGGTTGGCTTAGTCCAGTCGTCGAGTGGGGTAGGGGATGTGCAGTGCAGTGAGGGAGATGCTGTTGTGTGAGGATGGGGAGGCATGGCATGGTGAGTGGGGTAGGCGGCTGGTGGTGAGTGGAGGGGCAAGGCGGTTGATGGTGCCGCACATGCTGCTGTTTGAGGACGAGGAGGCATGGACGTATGAGCAGCTTCTTGAATTGGATCGGAATAATGTCGGCTTTTACTTGTCATTCTAGGTGGAACGGGATGTGTGTGAAAGGGGGGACAGGCGGGGTGGTGATGAGTGAGGAGGAGCCTGATGGTGCCGCAGATGCTGCTGTTTGAGGATGAGGAGGCGTGGACGTATGAACAGCTGCTTGAATAATGTCATACGTTATTGGATCGGAATAATGTCAGGCGGTGAGTTGATGCATCTTGGTTGGTGGGGCTGATGGCGCCTGCAGGCAGGCTTAGCTATTGTTCTTCTAACCCCCATCAAATCAACCCTTCACCCCCTCTCCCTCGTTCCCCCACAGCGGCCTGAAGCAGCAGGAGATGTGGAAGCTAGATCGGCGCAAGATGGGGCATGGGGACGAGAGGGTGGATTGTCAGATCTGTCTGTGTGAGGCCGTGGCAGGCGAGCTGCTCACCTCGCTGCCCTGCAAGCACACGTACCAGTGAGTTCCACCCTCCTTATCAGTGCTCTTAGGTATGGGGTGGGAGCGGTGGGCATGGGGATGAGGGAGGGGGCATGAGCACGAGAGGGGGGGGATGGGGACAAGGTGGGGTGGCATGGGGACGAAAGGGTGGATTGGATTGAGGTGACTTTTGAGTCGACTCTAAAGTCACCATGGGGATGCGAGGGTGGATGCTAGTGGGCTGGCATGGGGACGAGTGGGCGGGCATGGGGATGAGAGAGGGGGTATGAGCACGAGAGGGGGGGGATGGGGACGAGTGGGCGGGCATGGGGATGCGAGGGTGGATTGGATTGCCAGATCTGCCTGTCGGAGGCATTGGCAGGGGAGCTGCTCACCTCGTTGCCCTGCAAGCACACGTACCAGTGAGTGGGGTTAGGCAGGCACCTCGTTATTGTCACATGTGCCAGTGCTTGGGGTTAGGGGTACATACTTCGTTGTTGTCACAATGAGTACCACCCTCCGTTTTGCATGTCACCTCTTTCTTGCACTCACAGCATCGATACCATCGATAGACCATTGATATACCATTGATATACCATTGATATACCATTGATATACCATTGATATACCATTGATATACCATTGATATACCATTGATATACCATTGATATACCATTGATATACAATTGATCACAACATCTCTGCAAGTAATCCTTCATGTTGTAGCATTTTTTTCAAGACGCACTGCACGCGCCCCCATCTTTGAAACAACTCAGAGATCCCACTCTTCCTTATGTCCCCCGTTTGTGTCACACCCTCCCTACAGCGACGCCTGCATCTCCCCCTGGTTCAAAACCCACCGCACGTGCCCCGTCTTTGAGACGTCTCAGAAATCATGCTCTTCCTTATCCCCTTTGTGTCACACCCTCCCTACAGTGACACCTGTATCTCTCCTTGGTTCAAGACACACCGCACGTGCCCCATCTGCCGCTTCGAGATCGCCGACTAGCTCCAATACCTTGCTCAGAACACGTGGACTGCTTTCTGCTTTAGCCGAAGCTCGCCTGGTTCGAGAGTCAAGACCCACCGCACGTGCCCCATCTGCCGCTTCGAGATTGCCGACTAAACTCCAAAACTTTCTTAAGCACACCGACAGCACCTGTTCTGCCTGGTTCGATCGAAGACCCGCCTGCTTCAAATCCAACTGCACGTGCCCGGTTTGCTACCTGACGTCCCATGCCATGCGAATGCACCACAATGCATTGTGCGGCTCGATTGGAGAGGCAGGGACGTTGCACTGAACAGGATTCGCACCGTGTCTTGCGAACAGGATTGTTGCAGTGCCCTGGTACCGTGTAGTGGGTCCAGATTCTTTCGTCTCCGTTGCTTGTAAACACACACCCTCATCTGCATTTCCTTAGGCTCTTATGGAAGGGGCTCTTGCTCTGGATGTTCTGGTGTGGTAGTCCCTGGTGCTATGCTTGCTTGTGTGGGACATCTGTCCTGTTCTGCTATTCCGTTTATAGGAACACATATTAGCTGGCTTCAATGTGATACTTCTGACAAGCGTATACTTACCGAACATGCATATGGGATCATCTAACTTTAAACAAAGAGAGGGCAGTACACATAAACTCGTTACAAGTCCGAACAGTCAGTGCTCACTTCATTCGCAACCACCTTCAAGCCAGCCACAGCAACGTTACGCGAGTAACACCCGACACTTTTATCGTTACTCGCAAAGGCGAAATGCTGCTCGACCAATTGCGAAGCGCGCTTCCGCTCCTCCTGCTGTCCCCATTGCCCCAACTCCCCACCCCCAGTCCCCTCTCTGTCAGAACTCCCGGTGTCATTTCGACAAGCGCCGTCTCGAGTCACATTACAGCTGGTAACATTCGTAGCACCTGGTGCAGAATTGGACCCTGTGTCGCGACCAGCCCTCGTGTCAGATGCATTACTGGACGAGCCCTCGCCAACCCTAACAGGCTGAAAGCCTGTTATGCTGCCGCTGCTGCTGCTGCTGCTGCTGCTGCTGCTGCTGCTACCACCAGTGCTGCTATTGCTGCTGTCACTGCTATTACTGCTACCGTCGCTATCAACACCACCACCATTGCAGGTTGAGCAGTACTCGATATAAGATCCAAACCGTTGGTTCAAAAGGGTCTCGGAGATCGGACGGCCGACCTTCCTCCCCGACTTGTCCCTCTGAAGGTTGAATGCATAGTCTGTGTCTAGCTTGAAAGATCCGTTAGCTGGTGGTGGTTGAGGGGAGCAGGGGAGGGAAGAGAGGAGGGAAGAAAGGAGGGGAAATGAGATAAGAAAAGAGGGAAGGAAGGAGAAGAGTGAGTGAATGCATAGTCTGTGTCTAGCTTGAAAGATCCGTTAGCTGGTGGTGGTTGAGGGGAGCAGGGGAGGGAAGAGAGGAGGGAAGAAAGGAGGGGAAATGAGATAAGAAAAGAGGGAAGGAAGGAGAAGAGTGAGTGAATGCATAGTCTGTGTCTAGCTTTAACGAGCCGTTAGCTGGTGGTGGTTGAGGGGAGCAGGGGAGGGAAGAGAGGAGGGAAGAAAGGAGGGGAAATGAGATAAGAAAAGAGGGAAGGAAGGAGAAGAGTGAGTGAATGCATAGTCTGTGTCTAGCTTTAACGAGCCGTTAGCTGGTGGTGGTTGAGGGGAGCAGGGGAGAAGAGAGAAGAGAGGAGGGAAGTGAGAAGAGGATGTAAGTGGATGCATAATCAGAGTCCCAAATTAAGGTGGTGGGTAAGGGGCAGAGAAGAGGGAAGCAAAGACGGAGGAGGGAAGAGGATGTGTGGCTCCTCTCTGTGACTGAAATCAGCTCATTCCCCTTAGCATCCCAACCTCTGTAACATGAGAGCCCTTGAGGCATCTCAGAACCTAGAGCATACCTAGGAACAAGCACTGCTCAGTGACTGAAATTAGCTCGTTACCCTCGGCATCCCAGCTTGTAACACTAGAACAACAGCCCTTGAGACGTATCAAAGCCAGAACATACCATCTAGAGAAGTCATTTTGAGGTTGACAGGGAACAAGTACTGCTCAGTGACTGATATCAGCTCATTCCCCTTGGCATCCTTGCTTGTAACCTCCATTGAATTTCTCATTACATGCGACCATGCCACCAGCCCTTCACTGCGGAAATACACCGACGCTTCTGCGCCCAGGCTCCCCGTAACCTCGGTCGTAACCGCGCCGGACGAGGAGTAAACAGTGCCGGAGATTGTATAGGAGCGGAGCGTGCTTGTAGTGAATCCGGTGCTTGTGGCAGCAGGATCGAGAGGTGCTGGGTCGGCAGTTGTGCCGGTGCTGCTGCTACTACTGCTGTTGCTGCTGCTGCTGCCGGTGCTGTTATTGGCCGATGCATTCGAGGGATCGGAAGCGGACGGCATGATGAGAGTGCTTACGATGGAAGGCACAGGAGCCTGGGGCAGAGTAGAGCAGGAAGGGCAGACGGACAGGGGGGAGCAGGGAGGGCAGGCAGAAGGGAGCGGGGCGTTTTTGGCCGATGCATTCAAGCAGAAGGCACGATGAGAGTGCTTACGATGGAAGGCACAGGAGCCTGGGGCAGAGTAGCAAGGGTAGGGAGGCAGGGGGGAGCAGGGAGGGTAGGGAGGCAGGGGGGAGCAGGGAGGGTAGGGAGGTAGGGGGGAGCAGGGAGGGTTGGGAGGAAGGGGGGAGCAGGGAGGGCAGGGAGGCAGGGAGGGGGGGGGGGCACAGGGTGGGATGGGTCGAGCAGGAGAGAGATGAAGCAGGTTAATGGAGCAAGGAGGCGAGAGGGGAAGGAGGGAAGGAGGCAATGGGGAGGAAAAAAGGACGGCAGGAACAAGGGATCGTAAGAAGAGGAAAAGATGTGAGCGGGAGAAGGGCTGGGGAGGGAGAAGAGCAGAACGGACAAAAACGGGAAAGGATGAAAGGAAAATTGTGCGGTGGTGCATGCATTGCAGAAGGACCTATATGCTGCTACCATCCTGCTCACTCCACTCTTCACTGAGGAAAATAATTGTATATAAATAAATATAAATATAAATATAAATATAAATATAAATATAAATATAAATATAAATATAAATATAAATATAAATATAAATATAAATATAAATATAAATATAAATATAAATATAAATATAAATATAAATATAAATATAAATATAAATATAAATATAAATGTATATGTATATATGTTTGCTCACATTGATAAATGGCCGGGTGCCTGTAGTGGCCTCCCGAACAGGGTCAACCCACAGCTGGAGAACCCCCGAAACCATCCACCGGGCAGCCCGGCCGACCACGGGCACGCTGACCGAAATTTCGTGCGGCTGCCCGTCCACCAGCAGGCCGACAAACGGCGTGACGTCAAGGGAATAGGTGGGGTTGCTAAAGCAGCCGATTCCGACCATGGGGACCCAGAGGAGAGGGGCGAAGGCGGAGGGGTAGAGGGTGGGGAAGGGGAAGACTGCTCCTGCGAATTGGTTGTCTATGAATAGAAGGAGCTCACGGAAGGGAGAGGACGAGGGGGAGGAGGGGGGGGTAGAGGATGAGGATGAGGATGAGGATGAGGAGGAGGACGCCGTAGAGTTGGGCGAGAGCATGAAGAAGAACTCATCACCACCATGCCTGGTTACCATCAGCTCGAATTTCGCGGTCACGATGTCACGGGGCAGCGCGGGAAACGTCACAGAAGCTTCCAGTGAGGAAGAAGAGGGAGAAGAGGACGAAGAGGAAGAGGAGGTGGATGTGGAATCTTCGCCCGTGATTGTAAAGGGGGCAGGGAAGGATTTTCCGGGTGGTTGCATGGAGAAGGGGAGAACGACGTCTGGAACGATGGCTCGGTTGAATCGAGTGGTCTTGAAGAAGAGGAGATCGATGCTGACATAGAAAACGCCTGCACCAGATACGGACAAAATCGGGTTGGGTGCAATAAGATTTTGGCCTCCACCCACCATAAGCATATGCCGTGTATTGCAAGTAATAGCAGAAAACGTTACCTGTTAGTGTGTCATTGACAACGTTAGGAAGGGTGACAAATGCTTGCTTTTCCTGTTGATGGAATAGATGCAAGAACAGGCGAAGGAGGAGGCAGTGAGTGAAAGGCTCAGAGGAAGATTGAGAAGAGTTTAGAAAAGATAGAAGGAAGAAAGAAGCATGGGAATTACCTTCGAAAGCATGGATGCGTATGTCGTGATGTCTTCTTCGAAAGAATACGATGCCGACACGCCCAAAGGCTCCACCGTACTGCAAAATCGTCAATAAAGTGGGGTGGGGGGAAAGGAGAGGGGGGGACAATAAAGAAGGGATGCGACACATAAAGAAAGCGCTGCCTTTTTCATGCACAGAAAGTCATATTGCACAAAAAATCAAGGTACAATTTACTGTTTACTGAGAGTTGGCCGAGCGACCTTACATGGATCTGGAGACCTCGAAGTTGCCGAGGAAGACGGACAGCACGCGGTCGAATTGCACCCCGCTCACGTTCACGCGCACGCTCAGCAGCACAAGCGACCACGCCTGGCGGAACCGCAGCCAATCAGAGAAGCACATGCGGGGAACACCGAAGGGGTTCGACGGGAAGTTGGCGTCCCGAAGGGGTTCGGAATGTGAAAAGACACGATTGGAAATATAGAACTGGGTGCAGATTGATAATATACTTTGTCGAGAGGAAAACATGCTACAACATGGAAAGCAATAAAGCACGTTCTACTCTCTTGCGACTACGTGGGGCCTCGGCGGGCCCAGCGACTAAGTATAGAAGGCCGGGAAAGGGAAGCGGGCCGGGGGGAGCGGGGGGCGGGGATCAGGGAGAGAGTGCAGCAGGTTGGGTGGGGTGGGACCGGAGGGCGTGAAGTGGATGTTTGAGGGAAGGAGGGGGGGGGTGTAAGAGACAGTGAGTTTGAGGGTCGGGCAGGGGGGAAAGGAGTTAGGGAAGCGGAGATGGGCGGAAAAGAAGGGTGGAGGGTGGAGAGCAGAGAGAGAAAGCAGGGATCTTGGTATAATGGTGGGAGAACAAGTGGTAAGTTGGGACGGACGTACGGAGCCGCAGGAAGCCGGGATGGAGTAGTTTTTCGCAACGGGTGGGTCGCCAACGGTGTCGTCGAACGATTGGTTGCGAAGCAGCGTAACGACGCACGGCTTCACCCCGCGAGGCCTTGCGATTGGCCGAGCGACCTCGAAGAACGTCACTTCATCGTCACTGCTGTCGCCGCCGCTGCTACCAGAACCGCCCGGGTCGCCAAACGACTGAGATTGAATCCTCCCTTCGTTACCCGTTTCGCCAGTTTTCGCAGGCTGTGCATTCGCTCCAGATGGTAGCTGCAGCGAAATCGGGTAATTCCCGTCTGCTGGACGCGGGGGCTCTAAACTATCGGGGCCTCGCTGAAGCGGGCGAAAGTTGGCGAGGCCCTGCACGAGAGTTTGCGACGGTAACAACAACGTATCGTCGTCGTCGCTGTCATCGTCTACGTCTTGCGAATCCGTTTTGTAACCACTATCTACAGTAGGAGTGTCTAATTGGGGGTTGGGCTTCGCGTGGAGTGGAGGAGGTCTCCACGGGAAAAGGCGGAAGCCACGCGCGGGATGCGGGGTGAGAGCGAGGAGGACTGAGAGTAGAGCGAGTATAACTAACGTGCAACGCGCCATGCCTGTTTCTTTTCCACGTCAGGACGGGTCACTGGGTAGATGCTCGAGTCTATACGTAACCGCTCCCGCCTAATCTCGACTATAAGATTGCTCCTGCTGCTACTTGCTGCTACTTGCTGCTGCGAAACGAACCGAGAAGAGCGTATTCCGCAAAACGAACAGAGCGTATCCTGTGGCTTTACGAGCGTTTACATGCGAATCACTTCGAAGCTGTTTGCTAGGTCATGGCGGTAGGTGCGTAAACCACTTTTAGGTCAAGAGACATGACGGTCCTGTGGTCGCCAGCCATCGGCATTCGTTGTGGGCCCTGTAGGAACCATGGGTAGGTGCGTCGCAAGCGGGGTAACCAGGAGGAAATGTTATTCAGAGAGGTACAAGCCTCAGTGTACTGTTCATTCCTAGGCAAGCGCGGGGGGTGGGGTGGGGAGATAGCATTGCTTTAGCACCAATAGGGGCATTTGTCGGCTGTTTCTGTCAGAACCTGCAGAACTCAAGTTTCGTTTGGCTGGTTGTAAATTAGTTTGGTTTAGGCTGACATCTTCATTCTCGACGCGATTCGAGGGAGCCTGTGTGCTCGTCTTGTCTGTTGCCGTGCTGTCATGGTGTTGGAGCATTTCCATCCAAACCAAAACCAAACGGTAAGTGCCTCGACACAAATAGTATGTAAGGCACCACTATAAGATGTACGCAACCTTTTGGAAACGTATTCAAACACATTGAACCTACGATAGATATCGTCGGATGTTGTCGACTATCCCCACTTGGAAGACATGAGAGAGGGAGGGAGGATACGAAAACGGGAGAAGACAAGCTGATGCTCTTTTTCTGGCGGCAGGGACGGTCAGAACGGAATTTCGCAGATCAGACCAGAACATAACACCCACCGACAGCACTTGAAACTCGGCGGGCTGGGTTTCGGTAATGTCTATCATTATGCTTAGGCAAAACTACACGAAGAAGAATAGATGGGTGGTTTGCGTCACCCCACAGGAGATTTGTAATAAGCGTAGGTGGACCGCAATTTCACACCGCTTTTTGCGGTAGGGCAGGGCAGGAAACCACTGTTAGCGGGGAGGCGCACCTGGTACAGCAAAACCACCACCGACCACCCGATCAGTTCAGTAACGCGTATGCCATGTGTGCTTTCCAAACCAGCTGTTTTATATTCAATAACTTGTGGCATGTATGATGTATAGATCTGAAAGTTTGTTATAACATTCAAGACGTACTGGTGCCCTGTTAGGCATCTGATGATGTATTCCTGATTGTTTGAATTACAAATAAGTAACAGGACTTAGTCAGGATCTTGCTCAAGGTTGATTGAAGGGTAGTGCATTGCGGAATGATTAACGACACATGTAAGAGTTAATGTAAAATGACATAAGTGAATATTTTAAGACATACATATGAATTTTTTCGAAAGTGTGTAACACTTTCTAAAAATGTATATTGTGAAAGCGCAGCTGCCTGTAACGCAGCAAAGCAACGGCGAATTACAATTCACCGAGTACATAAAGAGGGTTGGAGGCCATTCGACCTCCACCCACGACTTCATTTCGGAACTTTGCAGTTCCACTCATTCTCGTCCAACCACCTCTAAGTTTCCCGATCACACTAATTTTTATTGCCTAGTAGACAAGGCGGGTAGTTATTTCTGCTACGTGCGTTCACCGTAGAAGGCAAGAGTATCGCGCCCGCGAATGCAATGAAACATGGGTGACGATTGTGGAAAGAAGTTCATCTAAGTAACACTGCACACGTCGCGTGGGAAAACTGCAACGTCGGCAGGATCAACTGCGCGCGCACCAAAGGACGTCTTCCACTGAAAAAGGGGAACCGAGAGTCTCGACGTTGGCCTGAGAGCCGTCCCCCAGGGGTGAAAGAGCGTGTGGCCTGAGAGCCGTCCCCCAGGGGGGGAAGGGCGTGTGGCCTGAGAGCCGTCCCCCAGGGGGGGAAGGGCGTGTGGCCTGAGAGCCGCCCCCCAGGGGGGGAAGGGCGTGTGGCCTGAGAGCCGTCCCCCAGGGGGGGAAGGGCGTGTGGCCTGAGAGCCGTCCCCCAGGGGGGGAAGGGCGTGTGGCCTGAGAGCCGTCCCCCAGGGGGGGAAGGGCGTGTGGCCTGAGAGCCGTCCCCCAGGGGGGGAAGGGCGTGTGGCCTGAGAGCCGTCCCCCAGGGGGGGAAGGGCGTGTGGCCTGAGAGCCGTCCCCCAGGGGGGGAAGGGCGTGTGGCCTGAGAGCCGTCCCCCAGGGGGGGAAGGGCGTGTGGCCTGAGAGCCTCCCCCAAGGGGGGAAGGGGACCGAGGGTCCCCGTGTGGCTTAAGAGCCGTCCCCTAGTGGGGGAAGGGGACCGAGGGTCCCCGTGTGGCCGGAGAACCGTCCCCTAGGGGGGGAAGGGGACCGAGAGTCCCCGTGTGGCCCGAGAGCTGTCCCTGAGGGGGGGAGGGTGACCGAGGGTCCCCGTGTGGCCAGAGGACCGTCCTCCAGGGGGGGGAAGGGAAGGGACCCGAAGGTCCCCATGTCGTCCTTACCGTAACACGGGCTAAACTTCAATTATTGTGTGCGTTAGTTTGGACGGCTCATGCTTGACCATTGATGTATGAGGTATATGAGAATATATGGCTGCATTTCTTAACCACTAAGGCTGGTCTGAAGGCCCAACAAATTTCAGAATCACTCTTTCGAATGCAACTAAATACGGTATGGATTTTGAATCTGACATGAATAGAGTTGTTCACATCATCCAGTGCTTTCCCCAAATCAGGGCCATGCTAAAGGGATCGGTTTTCGCCATCATGCACATCCAACTTTGTTTGATCTCACACTCGACAAGAAAGGGGGAAATAAAAGCATGTGTTTGAAGCGACTTGCATGCTATCACAAGCTCGCGTCTCGTTAAGAACGTGAGTGTGCCTCTGGGAGCTAAAGATGGATGTGGGCCAAGGTAAAGTACAGTATGTTCCTGTCCAACCATCAGGACGGAGATCCCCATACTACCAATTTAAACTCACCCATCACGGCGTAGTTAGTCCGGAACACCAAACGGTGGAAGTGTAGAGTACATCACAGCATATGAGTACGGTTGTAGAGTACATTGGGCGTATAGAGTTTGGAAACCACCAGTTTCAACCACTATCCAGCGGCACCAACAATCAGGGACATCCACATCAAGGGAACGAGCAACCTTCGCACACACATCATCCCGAACGTCATCGACATGGAGATCACAATCACCAACGCCGCCACTCTCGGCACTTCATCAAGGCCATCAACTGCAATTACACTCACCACGTCTTCAACGTCCCAACTGCACATGTCTCAGAAGACCCAATTGTAATGAAGCCCGTTGCCTTTGCAAGAACAGAAAGCAAGCTTTCTCAATATGATTTTTTTCGAAAGTGTGTAACACTTTCTAAAAATGTATATTGTGAAAGCGCAGCTGCCTGTAACGCAGCAAAGCAACGGCGAATTACAATTCGCCGAGTACATAAAGAGGGTTGGAGGCCATACGACCTCCACCCACGACTTCATTTCGGAACTTTGCAGTTCCACTCCCCACCCACCCACCCTAGTTGTATAATTGTATAATCCATAGTTGGACGAGAATGTTGTATTACTGCAATTGTAATGAAGCCTGTCGCCCGTTGCCTTTGCAAGAACAGAAAGCAAGCTTTCTCAATATGTCTACATATGATTACAAAGAAATTCAAGAAGTCCTAGCTAGCCATGTGTAAGGAGAAATCATTTTCCTTACTTCGCGCCCCTGCTTACCGCGTACAAGACCATTCCCGCCATCGGCACCCCATAGTGAAACGTTACCCGCTCGCGACACTCGCCTCGACCACGACTCCCGCCACTGTTCACGACGCGACCCAACCTCACGGTTCGGTTGGTAACCCGTGCTCTGGACCTCCGCCTCGACATTTCCCAACCTCGGCGCTAGGCCCGTAGCGCACCCCATTTTCTCGCGTTACCGTTACCACGCTAGCTTCGCATATATTCTTTGCTCATGCCTTCGCTCGTTGTATTGTTTGCTTCGATAGTGCAATTCTCGCTCGCTCGCTCAATTGCACTCGTAACGCTTGATATTCAGAGCCTACGATCTCTTCTCGGATAACACCCACACCTTCGCTTCCCCACTATTTCATTTTTTGGAGGGGGTGGACGTCTCTCAGCGTTCAAGCACCGCCGTTCGAAGTGCTCTTGCCTTCCCTGCCAGGATCGAGCACAAACTGGCTCTCGCTGAGCTTGCTCGACACCGTCCGGAGGAGCCGATTATTATTTCGTCCGGCACACCGTCACAACATGACAGCGTGGGACAGCGCTCAGGCGCAGCCAGTGATGGCGCTGCCCAATCAATGCCTGGCATGGGGAGCAACAGGGCTGCACCAAGCACGAGCGGGCCTCGCGAAACCCGTCGTCATGTTGAATTTGTGGCAATAATCGGCAACAACGACATCGTCGCGCCGATGCCGCTCAAACCGCAGCGCCCGCCCTACTTCGACCCGAGCCAACGTGGAGGTCCGACGGTTCAATTGTGGGTCTTCACGATGAACGTTTTCTTCGACGCGAATTACGTCGAGTCGGACGCATCGAAGATTCGATACGCTGTTTCGCTGCTAAGGGGCCCCGCCATGGACTGGTGGCGAGTCATCGTGACGTCAACACGCGCCTACGAGCCGCCATCACAATAGGAAGAGCCCACGGGTCTAGCCGTCACCTGGAGTTTGTTCTGCGAAACCGCCCACGTGGGATGCGTGGTGCGCAGGGCTTCGAGCGCGTTTCGAGCCGATCGCGGATTCTATTTTGGCGCGTCAGAAACTGCGTACTTGGCGACAGCTTGGGCCGGTCCAAGACTACACCAGCGATTTTCTCGCTCTGTGCGAGCAAGTCGGCTACATGCACGAGGCGGAGCAGGTGGACCGTTACGTCGGCGGACTGAAGCAGGACATCTCGTACGAGATTATGCTACGCGGGCTATCAAACTTCAACGAAATCCTCGCGCTCGCGGAGAAAATCGACATCCTACGCCGATCGAGACCGGCGTCCTATTACGAACATCGTCCTCGGGGGCCGACCGAGCACGCCACCGTACACGCTGTTGCGGCGAATGCAGCTGCTGCGCCATTCAAGGGGCGCTGCTTTGCTTGCAATAGGCCGGGCCATCGCAAGAGCGAATGCCCAGAGGAGCAGAGACGCCGCGGAGCAGAGCAGGGGAGGGAGTCTCAGAGGCAGGGAAACGCCACCAGTCAGTAGAAAACGGGCCAACTACTGACGAGACAACCTGCTACAACTGACGCTTAGCCGTTGTTCACCGGAGATTGATGCACGCTTAGTTGACGGCACGCCACTGGCAATACGAGAAAAAGTGGAGAGGGTGAAAGTTCGTTGCGGGGGAAACTTTGAGTTTACACAGGAAATGCTCGCGACGACACTAGATGGGCACGACATTTTACTGGGACGTGATTGGTTGTGACGTTACAATCCGCGAATCGACTGGACGACGGGTAGCTGCGCTGTGCGAAGTAATGGTAACTGGGTCGAATTACCTCGCTGGCAGTCACCTGAGTCTTCGACGGTCCACGTCAACGCCATCACGATGAAACGGGCTGTCGCCGCTGGAGCTGACGTGTACGCGGTGGATATCGCATTGGTAGGAGAAGCAGAGCAGCCGAGCGATTTTCAGAAACTGCTGGCAGCCGTACCGCCTGAATTACAGGAACTATTGAAACAGTACCCAGGGAATTTTCCGGACGACTTGCCGGAGGGGTTGCCACCTCAGCGAGCACACGACCACCGCATAGAACTAGAACCGGGGGCACAGCCAACCGTACAGCGACAGTTAAGACTGACACAGCCCGAGCTCGACGAACTGAGGAAGCAATTAGACTACCTGTTAGAAAAAAAATTCATTCGACCGAGCTCGTCACCGTTCGCCGCACCGATACTGTTCACACCGAAAAAAGACGGAGGGTTTCGCAGGTATATCGACTACAGAGCACTTAACAGGGTAACAGTCAAATCGCGATACCCCATTCCCCGCGCCGACGAACTGATAGATCAACTGCGGACAACACGGGTATTTTCGAAAATAGATTTAAGGGGAGGTTACCACCAGATTCAGGTCGAACCATCGGACTGCGCCAAGACGGCATTTAGGACTAGGTACGGGTCATTTGAGTACACAGTGATGCCATTCGGGCTGACCAACGCACCGGCGACTTTTCAGATGACCATGAACGAAGCGTTTAGGCCGCTCTTAGATAAATGCGTGATAGTTTACCTCGACGACATCCTAGTCTACAGTCGTGATAAGCAGCAGCACTTAGCAGATATGGAAGCAGTGTTTAAAGTTTTAAACGAGCACAGACTACTGACCAAGGGTTTCAAGTGCGAGTTCTTCCAGGATAGGTTAGATTTTTTGGGGCTCGTCATTTCGGAGGCTGGCGTCGAGATCGACCCAAAGAAGCTGGACACGGTAAAAGCGTGGCACCCCCCGACGAACATCACGGAGCTGCAGAGTTTTTTAGGGTTCGTTAATTATGTGCGTCGGTTCGTCCCCGACATGGCACGGTTAACTGCCCCACTGACGGATTTACTGCGGAAGGGGGTCGCTTTTACGTGGGGGGAGAAAGAGCATGCTGCCTTCTCTGCCCTGAAAAATGTTCTCTGTTCACCGCCCGTACTGTGCATCGCCGACCCACACCGCCCCTTCGAAGTGGTTACAGACGCAAGCGACATCGTCATTGGAGCCGTACTGCTACAGGACTTCGGCAACGGCCTACAACCCATCGCATACGAGTCACGAAAACTGCATCCGCCCGAGAAAAATTACCCGATACACGACCGCGAAATGCTCGCGATCGTGCACGCGTTCAAAATGTGGCGCTGTTACTTGACCGGTGCATACGTGACAGTACGGACAGACCACAGATCACTACAGTACCTCCGCGCGCAGCCCCACCTCAACTCACGACAGATTTGCTGGCTCGATTTCCTCGAGTCGAATTTCCATTACACGGTCACCTACAAAAAGGGGGCATCAAACATCGCCGACGCATTGACCCGCCCCACTGCCCAAATCCACGCCATACTATTCGCCCAGACCAGCCCACTGCAAACATGACTATTTACCCACGACTACCAAACAGACCCGTTCTTCACTGGAGGAAACTCGCAGCAGTTCGCAGCAGCAAAAGGGGTGTATTACGTAAAAGCCGGCACTGATAGGATCTGGGTACCGGGCTACACCTTACTACGGGAATTACTGCTACAGGAGGCACATGACGGAGTCACCTCAGGCCATTTCGGAGTAGAAGAAACACGGCAGCAGCTGCAGCGGTATTACTACTGGCCCGAAATGCTGACCGACGTACAACGACACGTGGCATCGTGTCCCACCTGCCAGCTCATGAAGTTGTCACGACAGCGACCAGCAGGACAGTTGCAGCCGATACCACCCCCATAACGTGCTTGGCAGCAGGTGACGATGGACTTCGTCACGGGGTTACCGGCTGGAG